GCCTTGGCTACAAGCAGCAAGGTGACCACAACACAGTGCCAGTCCTGAATTTCTCTAAAACTGTGTGATCTGCAGTGTCCAGCCCTCTCCTGGACAGTTCAGAGAAATAATAAGATTTCTTTATTCCTCTAAACACCCAAAAGCATGTCACCGCCTATTAACTTAACTGGGTAAATACACCTTCCATTTAAACACAGCACTGAGTTGGTTTATAGTAAAATATTACATTTATTAGTAATAGGACATAGGTTAAGTGATGCCAAGTGAAAAGAATAAAGTTAGAAAGGGTTACAAGCAAGTAAAAGTGGAAAACATGCATCTAAAACTTAATCTAGCAAGATACAGGCTTTGATCAAGATGGTTTCTCTCACCAGTCACTCTTCTTCCCGGCCATGGCTGACTTTCCCTCAGTCAGGACCTTCCACAGAAGTACAAGATGTTGGTTTCCCTTGTTTTTCTAGGTGAAAGATTTTGGTCTATGCAGGTTTCTCGCGTACATTCAATTCCCAAAGACTTAAGCCCCCCTGTTTCTCAGTTTACAAGTTCTCTGTTCCCTTGTGTCTGTGTGGTGATGGATAACTTAGTGGTTTCTCTGCCCTGCCCTTTATTAGTTAGTAAACCTTTGAAAGGTCAATTAACTTTGATAAATATGCTTTTCTTCAAGAGGAAGATGACCTCATGCCATTACTTTCTTCCTGTGATCTTCCTATTGCTCCGCATATTCTATGTAAATAGGGCTTCTGCTCTTTTTTTTGTCACACCTCACTTAATTTATTTGGAGACAGGTAGATAGTTGTGACATTCCCTTCTGTGTGAGAGAGGTCTGTTTCTCCCTTTGTTTGAGACACAGGCTGTTAAGCATAATATTAATCATAATTCATGTATAAAGTATTGACTCAACTGATTTTATACAACATTACTTATAAAATTGCTTATCACTTGAAGTTCAGCCCCCAACTTTATAGACCAATTAAACCTTTGCAGTGTATCCTTTGAAAAGTAAAACCCAGACCAAATTTCTCTCCTACTGGGTGTAGACACCATGCTGTCTCCTCCCCCACTTGTTTAATAGCTTTGTTTACATAATATGTAAAAATGGACCTTCATTATCTTTGTCTGAAGACCAGGCTTGTCAGAGGATCAAATGTGCATTCCTTTATCTAAGGCAGACCTGTCTACCAACTCTCCCTGAGAAGCATGGTGTGAACACGCTTAAGTCATAATTCCAGCATATATTCATAACTCTTAATACACACTATGTACATACACCACACAAGAATATAACTCACTGATCATTAGTAATATTCAAATGAAACCTCACAAAGCATATTTTGTACAAAGCTTATTACGATAGGGTATGAATACAGGGGTGCTGTACGGTGGGATCTGGTTGCTTGTATGCAGTTTGTAAACCAGACTTGTTCGGATCCCACTGACTGGAAGGCTGGAATCACTCCCTCTTACCCTCACAAATATTATGGAGTGTGCAGCAGATGATGATTAGATGAATGGTGTTTGCCACATTGACAGGTGTGTAGGCAGTGCCAATGAGATTTCAGCATACCAAACATGCACTTCATGACCATTCTACAGTTGTTAAGTTTGTAATTGATTTCCCTTTTTCCAGGGACATTGATGTTAGTGTGTTTTCATGAGCCAAGTTAGGAGCAAGTATTCATCTTCTCCCAAAACAACAATGAGCATAGAGACACATTATAGAAAAATACCTTTCTGAGGAATCAAGTCTCTTCTTCCTCCTCCAGTTACAATACCAATCTCCTCAGCACACTTTTATCCTGAACCTTTCCAGTGTTTCCTATGTTGGTATTCATGAATCTGCTTCTGTGGTCCACTAAACCTTGCAGACTGAGTGAATAGTAACCTTTTGGGTTCACACATTCACTTTTGGTGGGCAAAGTTTTGGGATGTGTGGGCCAACGATGTTTAGAAACCCCATCCTCTGAAATCCAGCTATTTCTGGAACTTTTCTTATGGCAGCCACTTGTTCGTAGATCAGTGTTAATTGCCTTGCAAACATGCATGACACTGATAGTGGATTTTGCAACCCTGAAGTGGCTTGCCACAGAGAATAGGTGTCTGTTGCCAGCTTCCACAGGACAATAGCCCCTGATTCTGCACCAGTATAGCTTGTCTGGATTGACTGTTCTGATGCTGGAGGTTTGGTGCAAGCTTTTCTCACAGCTCCGTGAAGGTCTGTTTCCTCCTTCAAAAGTTCTGAAGTCGTTGCTGGTCATCCCAAGTTTCCAAAATGATGTGATCCAACAACACTGTGCTGGTTCTCCTGCACCAGAAATTATGGTCCAGCTTAGGGGCATGCTGTGGAAATATGTACCATGGGAACCAAATGAATTGTCATTAACGCTCCAGGACACCCATCTTTGTATGAGAAAGTTCTGCCCAAATTCCATCCACCAACTTTCCAATCACATTTTCTGCTTCACTTTTGTCCCATGACAAGGAGCAGAAGCTGAACCAGATATCATAGGACTGGAAGGGACCTTGAAAGGTCATCTAGTCCAGTCCCCTACACTCATGTCAGGACTAAGTATTATCTAGACCAGTGATTCTCAAACTTTCTATTTTCATGGACCACTTGAAAATTGCTGAGGGTCTCAGCCAACCATTTAATGATCTTTCCAAATGGTGTTTGTACTATTAGCTAACTACTGTAAAGCGCTTTGGATAAAAATGCTATATTAAAAAAGAAACGTAATTAACTTTTTTATTCTAAAAATAAAAGCACATGACTCATATTTTAATATCAGTAGTCTTACCTCTCTAATGCAATGGATGTGTCCTCTTCTTCCCCCCCCCCGACCCCCAGCAGCCCCCAAGCTGAGGCTGGGAAGGACGACTGTCTCTCCTTAGCAGCCACAGCCCTGGAGCTGGGGAAAGTTGCCTCTTTTTTCTGGCCGCTGCAGCCCTGCATGTCCCAAATTCCCCCACCCCCTCTTCTCACCCCACTGCCCCTCCCACCTACCTCCTATACCCCCAAGGCCACCACCTCACCTTATATGTGTCTTCTCCAGGGTCCAGGCACCTGATTAGTGGAGCCATGTCTGCGCAGCTCCACTAATTAGGTGGGCGGCCCTTCATTCTCTTGTGTATAGCCAACCAGGCAACACCTTTAGAGGGAACTATCCACGGACCACCTGAATGGAGCCCGTGGACCACTGATGGTCCATGGACCACAGTTTGAGAAACTCTGATCTAGACCGTTCCTGACAGGTGTTTGTCTAATCTGCTCTTAAATCTCCTCTGATGGAGATTCCACAACCTCCCCTAGGCAATTTATTCCAGTGTTTAACCACCCTGACAGTTAGGAAGTTTTTCCGAATGTGCAACCAAACCACCCCAGCTGCAATTTAAACACGTTGCTTCTTGTTCTATACTCTGAGATTAAGGTGAACCATTTTTTATTCTCCCTGCTCCTTGTAACAGTTTTCAAGTACATAAAAGTTTGTCTCCTCTAGGTCTTCTCTTCTCCAGACTAAATGCCCCCCCCTTTTTTTTCAATCTTCCCTCATAGGTCATGTTTTCTAGACCTTTAATCATTTTCGTTGCTCTTCTCTGGACTTTCTCCAATTTGTCCACATCTTTCCTGAAATGTGGCACCTAAAACTGGACAAGATATTTCAGTTGAGGCCTAATGAGTGTGGAATAGTTGAAGAATTACTTCTCACGTCTTGCTTACCATCCCAGAATGATGTTTTCTTTTTTCTTTTTTTTTTTGTGTGCAACAATGTTGACCCATATTTAGCTTGTGATCCACTATGACCCTCAGATCCATTTCTACAGTACTCCTTCCTAGGCAGTCATTTCCCATTTTGTAAATGTGCAACTGATTGTTCCTTCCTAAGTGGAGTATTTTGCATTTGTCCTTGTTGAATTCCATCCTATTTTCTTCAGACCATTTCTCCAGTTTGTCCAGATCATTTTGAATTTTAATCTTCTCCTCCAAAGCACCTGAAATCCCTCCTGGCCCAGTATGGTCCTCAAATATGATGAATGTACTGTCTATGTTATCTAAATCATTGACCAAGATATTGAACAAAACTAGACCCAGAACTGATCCCTGTGGAACCCCACTTGATACGCCCTTCCAGCTTGACTATGAACCACTGATAACTGCTCTTTTGGGAACAGTTTTCCTACTAGTTTTGCACTCACCTTATAATAGCTCTATCTAGGTTGTGTTTACCTAATTTGTTTCTGAGAAGGTCATGCAAGACTGTATCAAAAGCCTTATTAAAGTCAAGATATACCATATCTACAGCTTCCTCACTATGCACAAGGCTTGTTACCCTGTAGTACTTTGGCAGTAACCTGAATTATGAAGAATTTCAATTGCAATCTTATTCCAATTGCAGACTGTGTAATCAGAGTCTGTGACCATCTGCCACAAAGGTTTTTTTTAAAAAAACAGACTTTCTGATGGTACAGCAAAATGGCCATCAGATGTTTTCTTGGACTAGCATCTCTTAAGGTTACAAAGTGCAAAATGTCCTGATTTCCAGCTGTCACTTCAATTGTTGTCAGCTAAAAGAAAACCCTGCCAACCTCTATACTAAAGCATTTTGAAATGAAGGTAATTGTTGTTGGAATAATGGTTATTAAGACCAAAAGAGCAGGAACAGGAATAGAAAAATAACTTAACAAGCGGTAACATTAGGAAGTATATCATTGGTTAACATAGTCTAAATGTAGGCAATTTTTCTATTGGGCAAAGCTATAACAAGAGCCAGGATATCATTTGTTAACTAAAAAGTTTTTCTTTCAGATAGTATGTGTTTTGACCTGTAGCATGAAGGAGAGCAATAGTAAAAATGAATTTCATGCTAGTAGACACTCTTAAAACTAGACTTAGCTGCAGTCACATTAGCTTAGATAATGGGAGAATTTTTCTTCATTGAAAATGCTCCCTGTCGCTTAAGAAGAACTCACTGAGGCAGCCTGCCATCTAGCTTTCTCACAGCAAAACAGGCTTGCAGACTGCAGATGAGAGACTCAGGAGCAGAGACAATTTTAACTTAGCCAGCCCTAATTTATCTCAAGCTTTTTCAATTCATCTTCACTGCTCTATGCTCACTGGAACACCAGATTGTCATCCCTTGGGAACAGAATGCAACCAGGGATCTAGAGAGCTGTCACATCACAAGAAATATTTAAATTGTGCTGATTTTCTTCTGGAGTACTGAGCAGAGGGAATGAAACTCTCCATCAAGTCATAGCTTTGCGGGCAATAGATCAGAGGATACTGCCAGTTTTCTAATGGATTATTGTTATCGGGCAGGTTCTTCCTGAAGGTATGCAGTTGCTCTCAATTCATTACCCAGGCTGTTTATAAGGTAATGATCTAATGAACTAGTGAACCAAATATATTAGGAAAAATGTTAACTAAGTAATCTGTAGCAATGGAATGATATCACTTTATCGCAGCATATTTACAGGTAAAATACTCTGATCCACTTACTGTAGCACCTACTGCTAAGTGCTCTGTCAGCTGTGGGGTGGGAGCCCTCACTGTGCTGCAGACCACATTATCATAAGTTAGTATTGATTGCCCTGAGGGTTTTGCTTTTGTGAAAAAATGAATAGTGAAGGGCAAAATCATACTTCAGAAACAGTCAACCATTTACATTCCTGGGAGTTGACAATATTTTATTTTGCAAAAGAGAATGTTTTCATGAGGGTAGAGAGGAGAACTTTCCTTGAAGTAGCATGAATTAATTTTGGAGTTTGACATTTCTTTTTTGCTGTGACAGTACATGATCTTATGAGGGATGAAGGTATTTAATTCTGAAAAGCTCCAATGTGAGATGTGTGATAGAAGCATGTTGTTGCATTTGTATTTCTGACTTGAGGAGCATCTTGATAAAACATCAGGATTACAGAACACAAACAGAAATATTAAAAATAAAACAAATCTATGGAGAGGAGTACGTTGTCTTTAAAATGTTGTGTTTTCTAAATGGGTTGCAGCAAGCCCTCCCTAAGCTCAAAACCTTACTGCCTATATGCTAATGTGCTTTGTCGTGAAGTGTGAGCCAAAATAAAAGGATCTCACTAAATTGCAGAGCAGTCAAAATTTTTCAAACTGTTCCAAGCACGGGAGTCACTGGAGCTTGAATGTGGCATTGTGATTTCACAACTAACTTCACGATATCGTTCCTGATGTGACATTCTCTGCTCCAGCATGTGTATCAGCCGTGAGACTTCTGTGGCTGCAGAAATAGGAGAAATACATGAACTAAACCCTCAAGAGAGCCTTACAGTTAACTTGTTCACTGCTGATTCTCTTCACTTGCTGTGCTGCCATCATTCCACTCAAACGTCATGTTAGGCCACACTTTGAGTGTTTGGCAGCACAGTGGGTGGCTTCAACTGAATGCATGCTCACAAGTGACAGAGCCTAGTCCGTTGCTTACAACAGTACTGGAAAGCACTGGGACACCCCAATAATGGGTGAATAGAACAGACATAGCAAGGGTTGTTCAGCACTCAAGGGGTTAAAAACAAATGAGACAAATGAGAGATGGAAGCATTAACTCAAACATTTTTCACTTTGTTTTTAATATTCTTCTTAAGCTCTTGAAATAGTATTAGAGAGCAGGGGAGAGCATGTACTTTTTCTCTTGAGTCTCAGATTGAAAGAAAAAGAAGAAAGAGGAGTATGGCTTGAGCCCTGCCAAAATGAATTCTAAAAACCTATTTACTTTCCTATGGCCATTGGAGGGACAAGGGCAGAGAGGCTTTAGTTCAGTGATATTCAGACGGAGGCTTGCAAGCCACAAGTGGCTCTTTAATGTGTCTCCTGTGGCTATTATATTAAAACACTGATATTAAATGATATTAAAACACTGATTTTAGCGATTAAGCAACCTAAGTTATAAACAAATTAGGATGCTTTTACTATGTTAACGAACTATAGTTGATAACATAACTTAGTCAATCATTTTGCTATTAGAACAATATTGTTTATACATAATAGTAAATGAAACCATGAATTCACATGACTGTGGCTCTTTGGGGTAATGTTGATCACTAATTTGGCTCCTGAATCACTGAGGTCTGAGAATTAAAGCAATGATAAAACTCTGCCTATAGGTTCCTACCTTCAGGTAGCTATTTTTCTGTTTTAAAGGGAGTTTGTGTGCCAGGCTGGTTTTTCCCAATCTCTCAAACTTATTGTTTACATTTACAGAGTATTCTTAAAGTGCTGTCACCCTTGGGTGTTTCAGAGTTTTAAAATCCAATGGCTTACGAATGTCAGAGGATCAGGAGATAGAATAAGCATTTTAATATTATAACCCTCTCAAGAAAATCTGAGGACATGTTCACAGTAGGGTCTTATTTTTTTCCCCCTTGGGGTAAGTTTTTGTGTGTTTGCTTTCAACTGCTACTTTAACATACCAGCTGATTACATTTAATCACCTCCAACATTTGGCCTTGGCAAAGATGTAACCACTTAACAATGTCTATAAATTTACATTCTTTAAAGTAAGATCAAGAAGAGATTAAAGTGGCAAAGGAATTTTAAATGGTCAGAATTCAATGAAGGCTATTACATTAGCACTCTGTCCTAACTTTCCTATAATTGTTCTCTCTTCTGCCTAACCTGCTATTCAGCAATGGCCATTCCTCTCCTCACCTTTCAGAGAAATTGTGCATTCAGTTATGGTGTAGGCATCTGGAACTTTCTGTCACCTTATGAAACAGTTTTGTGCTGTCTTGTGTGAGTGACACTGTGTTACTTTAGTGTTGTGTTGTATGTGGATCAAAATTATCCATCTGGACTATTAATTGAGCTAGCAGCTATTGGCACCGATGGGGACTTAACTGGGATTTGGGAGGGATCAGGACATGAATATACTCAAGCACTATCCTCTTTTGACTGCTGGCTCTGTCTTCCTCCAGTTGCTATTTATCACAGTTTTCTACCTGTCCCAGCCCCTATGAGGTTCCAGTTCCAACATGATTGTTCCAGCAGCTCTTCTCTTCTCTGGTGCTGACTTGTATCAGAAGTCCATGGTAACTGCCAGACTTGTTTTGGACAGTCTAGCTGTTCTTCCATTGTCTTGGAACTTGCTCACTCATGCTGAGCCTCTTTCTTAGCTCATTCTCCATCCTTCCCTTTCTTCCAGTGGGAGGAAACTATTTCAGGTAAGTGCACCAGTAAGAAATTGCTTATATGTGGCCTTGCTAGTTTCTCAGGCTCTACACCATGTGGCTATGTCTTTAAAGAGATGGAGAAGAATTTTTTTTTCAAAAGTAATTAAGTGATTTTTTTTTTTTAGGTGCCCAAATTCTTAGCTGCTTAACATGAGGTTCTTTTACAAAGCCTGATTTTCTAAAAGAGCTAAGCACTTACCCACTGAAAAGCAGGGTAAGTTACCTTTTAACGTGCCCCAAGTTGGATTCCTTAATCACTAGTCATGTTTTACAATATTAGCCACACAGGTCATATCTGATTGACTGGTATTTTTAATGGTGTGCTTCCTTCAAAATTACCATCTGACTTAAGATGCAATAAAATAATAGTATTTAAATATGTGAGCAGCCTTGTATTTCATATTTAAAAAATAAGCAAAAAAACCTTTACATCTATTTTCTCACGTAACATGCAGAAAAGAGGGAGTAAAGATGCCAAGCTATTAGAGCCAGAGGAACAAATCAGACTGCTTCACTTAAAGTATTGAATAATACCATAGAATTTTTCTTCCTGACAATGCCCTACATTAAATGGAAATCTTATAAAGTCATAGTTTGATTTTGTTTTTTTAAATTCTATTGCAGTTAAGAGAGACTTGAGCATCCTGATTACTGCTAGGTGGAACTTTAGATAACATGGCAGCCAAAAGTCTGCCTTTTCATTTAATATATTTGGAGACCGAGATTAGCCTCTTTTTTTTTTTTTTAAATAATAATAAAATAATGGATACCGTCCAAGTGTGAGCTGGCGCTTTAAGATGTGCCTGCCACCCCAGGTGAAGGGAATAAGTCCAAGTGTTATGTGATTCAAGCATATGATTTGGAACCAGGCCTGCTGGGAGATATAATGAGCAGCCAGGGATTAGGGAGATAAAGGTGCAGGATGGATACATGAGCTGGTCTAAACAGAGACTCTCCTTGGCACCCAGCCAGATCCCTTGACTCCAGGGATCAGTAGTCAACTAGGAAGACTGGAGTACAGAGCGCGACTCTGCTAGAGGAAAGACTCATCAGAGACCGGACTAAGCCCCTTGCAGCAAGAGTTGTGAGCCAGCTAGAAAAGCTGGGTATGAGTTCCTGTATTAAAGTTGACGACAAATCACTACCTCTTGGGAGCTGGATCTACCTGACTCATGCCAGTTACGATGATGATACTGAGAAGTCCAAGAGGGAGAAACTGAAGCCACAGATGGGCCCAAAGCCAGACTGGGAAAGTCTCTGCTACAAATATATTTTGAGCCTCAGTTACCTAATCTTGAAGGAAAACTGACTAGAGTAAGTGGTTTCCTAACATAGCATCCTGATCCGCAGTGCCTAGTGGGAGTTGACCACAGCAGAGAATATTCCCCTCTATCTTGAAATGTCCCATGTGTGCCTCCATTGTAACAGTATGGTACCTTTGCTGTTTAAGATTGAGCGCACTGGCATGGTTTGGGCTGTGTCTTTTCTGTGCTTGGAGGAAATTAGTTTTCAGGGCTGTCAATTCAGCAGTATTGAGATGCACTAGATATGGGGGGAGGACACTTCAAAAATGAAGAAAAATCCTTCAAAATCTTTGACTCAGGAAAAAACTAAAAACAATCCCAAAAGATAAAGCAAGAGCTAACCCTCCCACACACAGTAAGGAAGGATGTGATATCACAACTGCTAAAGTGGACATTGGACGAGTATGCAGTTTCTATTAATTTACATAATTCCTGTGGAAAAGCTAAACTGAAGAAAGAAATAGAAACCTATAGTGACCAAAGGAATGGGGAGAAGGTGCTACAGCAGATGGAAATTACAGTACATTGCTTACAATAAAGACAGTAATGCTTTTTTCCCCCTTACGTACTCTAATGCAGAGAAGAGACTCTATCCCCATGAAGTGGGATTCTGTGTAGGACAGAGAACAGGTTGTTGTTTTATTGCTTGACTATTCAGGTGGCATTGAAGGACAGAACATGTCTTCTGAGACTTTGACAAGCTGCTGCTGGAAGAAGTGTTTAGAAAAAAAGCTTTGGGTCACAACAGAATGTGAAGAAAAACAAAGATTGCCAGTCTAAACATTTTTTTTCTTTCTTTCTTGGTTTGATTATTGACCTCATTGCTATTT